CATACTAACAAATTCAGGACAATTTTTGTCATGGACAACTTTTATTTTTGTAATATTAGAGCTTATTTTAGATAAATCCAGGTTGAAAAACCAGGTTGGCGAGGGAGGCTTTGGTGACAGTTTGCACCACACCACAGCAGTTTTGGTAAACAGACTCTAGTTGGCACTTGGATTAGTGGGAGGAAGCATGGTTGGGGTTATTTATGGTTTATTCATTATTTATTTTTTTTTTTATTCTGGGAGGTGACAGGTTATTGTGTGGACTGGTTGGTTATTAAGTAACGTTTTTTACATTTTAAGGGATTCTTCAAGGTAACGGTGATTTTTTAAGATAGTTCTTAAGTAGTTTTTAGTGGGTTTTTTAAAGGTATAATCATGGTTTAAAGGGATCTATGTGGGGTTTTTGTCATGTGTTTTTAGCTGCTGCTGAATTTTGAATTTACCTTAGGATTAATAAAGTATCTATTGTATTGTAATTTATTGTATTTTATTGTATTGTATTGTATTGTATTGTATTCTTAATCAACATCTTCATTTTAATCAGGGTATAAAATTATGGAATAATCTGGAGGATGACATTAAAAATGCCAAATCAATGTGTGTATTTAAGAGAATGATAAAGATAAATTTGTTGGAGAAATATGTAAATGTATAATGTATGAATTGTTGCTAAAGGAGTCAAGCCTTTATTATTTTTCTTTTGTTTTTCTTTTGGTAATCTTAAGATTATTTTTGATTGAATTTATTTATTTGATAAAAATTTCTTTTATTTAATTTATGATTTGTAATTTTTTTTGTTGTTTGTTGAATTTATGTTGTTATTTTAAAAAAATGAATAAACTTAACTAAACTAAAAATTTAACATACAGTATGTAATAATCTTCTAAACAATACATCTGTTTTAGCTGAACAATCCTACCGATCTTGTATTTATTGTCATTGATGTGTCTTGTTTTTCCACTTCATTTTCATAAATTCTGTGTTTGAGTTTAAAAAGTCAGAAATCAAAATCGTGCTTTTCTGAGAGATTGTGTATTCTGAAGTTCACGTGCATGAGCCCTCGTGCAACTGTCTTACTTCGCGTGCCGCACGTGTGCGCATCCATAAAGGACAGAGCCATTCTTTCATCCTCCTGTAAGGTGCTCTGGTCTGTGAAACTGCGCTCCAAGGAGCCCATATGGCTCTTCTCTTGTCGGTAGGTAATGGGAGTCTTATTCATGTTCACTGCTTTCCTGGTTGTGGAGAAAAAAAAAGAAGACAGAAAGATAAATGTCATAATGTGGATACCCTATTTAACACACAGAAAAGACAAAAAAAACTTTTTTGTAACTTTTTTTTACAGTGACAATATGAAGGTAAAAGAGGGAAAAAATGAGATTACAGTCAAATTATGAAGAGGGAAGCACTSTTTGGTTTTCCTCTTCAACCCATGACTGACAGCCAGAGCACAAGCATGTTTATGATGGATCGCAGAAAAGGACGCAAACGCAAAGAGATGGAGTCACTTACGGATAATAAGAGTAGTAGTCCCTTCTGGCAAGAGTTCAGGAGAGGGAGGAAAGAAAAGAAAATCAAGAGAAAGAAGATATGTAAGATGAAAGCAATGTCAGCTGAGGGCAGAATGCATTGATTACAGTGAAAATGAGAGCCATCCTCTCATACGTCCAGCTGTGCCGGTGGCCGTATGACACATGCAGCCGCTGACGGATCAAACACGGTGAGAGGGAGACCAACTTATATTTTGAATGTGTTGAGGAAAAAGGACCGAACTGTGTGGCTCAGCATCACAGCAAAACTCCTGACCAATTGTCCAAAACTAAAACTTACATTTGCTCAGGAGAGAAACTTGAATCAATATGCAATGTAGTTTTAGTTTAATAATCTTTTAATGCCTGTGTTAACATCATACTATCATCAAACACAAAACATAATTCAGCCAATTTTACATTTATTGAGCTAAAATCTGCCATCCTCTATGCATTTTCTAATGACTACCACCTCTCTAAAATCTTATTTCGCAAATATTTGTGGGTAACACCAAGGTTTGACCAAAACATACAGAACTCTGTCTCTTTTGAACCTAAAAGGACTTTAATTTAAAATGCTGGCATTAAAAGAGATGGRCAATACGAATTTTTTCAAGGTAGATTAAGTCTTTGGCTGCACCGGTTGCAGAGTTCTGGCCAATCACCGATCTTTAAAAAGTCTGACCTGCCAATTCCGATTTTAGCCAATATCAGTATTTTTAACTAGCAAACACTGTCAGGTGTTATAAGGTCACAATACACCTTCAATGTTCCAGTCTTATTTTATTGAAAAACACTGAACAATACCCTTGAAACAATACAAACTTGTTCTAAGTGTACATTTGTGCTCACAGCAGAGGGAAAGAGGACAGTGGCTGGCTTTCAGACCGTTGTGGAGGCAGACGAGAAGCCAATCTTTTCCATCGACCTTATCTACTGGTAAGTATCGGCCAATCTCACAAAATTAAGGAAATYGGTGCAATAGTTGGACCGAGCCACTAGTTGAACCAGTAGTTCTCAACCTAAGAAGCTGCCCTTTACTTGGGCGCCAAACAGCATGGGGGGCCCATAATCTTGTCTGCTCAGACGATATGAAAATATCAATTTATTGTTTGCATAAAAAAATCACCAAAACAAGTCAGTTTAAATAATTAAAAACTTTGCATAACTAAGTTCTTTTATTTACTTAGGTTTTTTTTCTTTTCTTTCCCAAATAAAAGTTTGTAACTATTCACATTATTATTTTATTGGGAGAGGTGGGGAGTAGCGAGGAATTGGGAGAGCTAAGCTTAGCTTAGAAGTAAGAAAGTGGGGCTACAGATGAAAAYAGTTTGGGAACAACTGGGTTTGATTTAGCCTTGTAAAAAACCAGACCCTTGTCCTTCACTTTGCTTCGTATGAGGGTCTGGACTCTCAGCTATAGAGAAGCGATTCTCGCTGGAGGCGTGGCCTCTGCTGAAGTTTAAAATGATTGGATCGGTTGGCCGCGACGTATGTGTGCCAGCTCCACTGTGAAGGAGGYTAAGCTAAGAAGCTAACCGGAAATCGCGTGCGCTGTAAACAACCCTACTGAGAGGAGAGAAGTACCGAGCACAACGAGACGGCTGTAAATGAGAGCTGCTGCTTTGTCAGACAAATATAATTTAATCTGGAAGCCTTATCAACACGGACTGGCTTCATTCACTTCCTCCACTGCCGTATGCTAAACTAACTAGCAGACACTGCACAGAAAATCAACGTCGTTCAAAACTCCACCTTCTATTTGCTGACTGACCCAGGTAAAATAAACTACAAGCTGACACTGCACAGAAAATCAACGTTCTGTTCTCTGATTGGCCCGAATGAAATGCCCCCGATAAAATCCTTGTCTATGGGAGAAATCCAAGACTGAGCAGTGAAGAGAAACTAGAATTGAGCGGAACTGCGTAGGAAGGCAAGGGCCAGGCTAGTTTCAAATTTAATTAAAGATKTTTTATTTAAATTTGGCAAGAATTAAGATGACCCCCATCTAAACAGAAGAACCAAGTGGGTGATTCACTGTAGACCTGTGGGATTATTGGTTAATAATCTCTAAACGCACACCTTTTCCCTCCCAATTGCCATCTCATTTAAGGGTCAGGCCTCCACTTGGTGTGCGTAATTAAGTGGCTAATTGAATCGCATCCGCCATTAATTAAATACTTCACACACAGATACGTTCTGCAGATGGGAGTTGTTTGGTCCCTCTGGTGTAAATAAATAAATAAATAAACAAAACTACGCAACCCTGTCTGTTACCTGACCTGCACCTCAAAATATATGAGCTTTTCATGCAAAATTCAGCACGATTAAAAATAATGTTCAATGAACGGTTTAAAAATGAAACCTAAAAATCAAATGTGGTGTGACTCTGCATGATGAGGCATGGCATTTTTTTTTGGGGGGGGGGGGGGGGGGGGGGGGGTCAGATGAGTCATGATCGCTTGTTTACCCCTTCTTAATGATGATGATGACAGCGCCGAGCAGGAGGATCAGGACCACCAGTCCTCCAGCACACACCCCGAGAATCAGCCCCATCTCCTCTGAGCGTTGGGACACTTCCAGAGCTTTGCGGTGATCTTTGCAGGCCGCTAGATGAAAAAACATGAAACAGAATCACATTAAAAACGAGCAAAGTGTTAAATGTGCAGAAAAGGAGAATAATGTGTTTGAACATTCCCATTCATTGCTGTGAATAATTCTTTTATATCAAACTTTTAGATTTCATATATAAATACATTTTTTATGACAAATCCTTCTTCTGTTTGGGGCACTTGGAGAATTTTTTGTGCAAAGAAGGACAGATTAGATCCACTGTAAGTCTTGAGGGAATGTGTTTCCCCAAGAATCCCATCATAAATAAAAAGTGGTAGCAACTTATCCTTCAAGAGCAACTTGTTTCACCAATCATGTTCAGGCCAATCCTGAACGTTTTATAACCAAGGATGTTCAGAGCTGCAGAGGGTGCATTTTTATAGAGCCAGGTCTCAGACAGAGATGGTCCAAATCTGAATTGAGCAACAAATGAATAATCCGTTCAGTTTTTGGAAAAATACTTATGTTTAAATGTCCACCCAGTAGAACTTTTGTTTTGCATTTGGATCCCAGATAATTTTCGAGTTATCGACCGTGTGAAAAAAACGCCCATTTCCGGTTTTTGAGAATCCCTGGGTTGAACCGTTTCCCATTTACTCTTTGCATTCCCATGGTAACTGATCGGCCAATCAGGTTATCTCTTAAAAAAGTTTGTTGTTGTTGTTGTGTGTCCTGGTCATGTCCCCCGCTCCCAAGTGAAGCCACCACCAAAGCACTCATCCTCCTCATGGACCCTCGATCATTGCCTCCGTCCAACACACCACCATGCGCCTGTGGCTCCAGCGTCATGTCATACTGCTCACCAACAGACCTCCACGATACTTCTTCTATCACATCTTCGCCAGCTCTCCGACCAAGCAGCTCAGATGTGGTTTGCAATGGATAAAGCTAATTAGAATGGTATACAGAAGAACACTGAGGTGTACCTGATGAGCATTCCTGTAAGGTAGGAATGATGCATGAATCCTTCCCTGTAGGCTCTCCCAGCTTCTTGGCATGGGCCAGTCCTGGGCAAGGGTGGGTGTCTCCAGATAACATCAAACACACGGTAATAATAAGTCCAGTGGTCAGTGGAGATTGTGTTGCTGTTGTTGTTTAAGGCCTTGAAGTCATCTTATTTTAAAGCGATGCATAGACCAAGGTGACAGCCAGTGTATGTCTCAAAGCCAATACTTGTCTTTGCCGGTTCGTTGTTTTTTATTTATTTGTAACCCAGATCCTCATAATTAGATGGTTTTTCATTTAAATATAGCCATGAAAGAATTGTGTCATCCCTCTCAACTGGATCCACGTACAAGGGCTTTATAAAATTTAAAAACAATCCAGACACAATTTGATGTGATCTGTATTTTACAGAATGACAGAGCATTTTGGCCCAAGAAAACATAGATAACAGAGGTGCTCAAAGATTAGACGTTGGAATTTTGAACCCAAGACCAATCTGAAACCCACCGAGACCCTGTGGTCAATTCTCAAACAGCTGGTATCATCTCTGAGTACTAATGAGTGGGTCACAGTCAGTTCAGATTGGCACAGAAGTTGATATTCAGTAGGCTAGGGAAATTATCAACATTGACACTTTTCATAAAGTTGATGAATTTAACTATTCTCCAAAATTCATTGAAAGTGTTGAAAACTAAACTCTGTCTAAGGCAAATCAACCCAACCATTGTAAGGCTGATAAAAATTTGGGCCATGGCTGTACAGTTCATAAATGGCAGTGATAAATGTACATCTTTATGTTGTGACACATACACCAGTTCTTCTGAATAAGCTATGAATAAAATAAATTCTTTGCAGTCAGAATAATCTGCTTAGCTCTACATTGTAATCTCAAGGTGCCCCGGTGTCTATTAGCCACCAGAAAGGTCATTATCATAATAGTGGGTTATTCATTTCTCTGGCATAAAACTTCATACTTCTGTAAACGGTGCTGAGCAGTGGGTCTGTCTTTGTCTTGTTATAGGGTGCCCACTGATCTAGTTTTTTTTCCTTTCCCTTTTTCTCCTACTGTCAGCTTGTCCTCCAGGCTTTGACAGCCCTGAAACCAGTCCCTCTGATCCCATTGGAAYGGCACAAACAATCAGGAGAGCAGCAGAAAGTCAGAGCACGCCTGGGGATACAGAATATCTAGCAGTCTGCTACAGGGGGTGAAAAAAATCAGATCTAGGGCAGGGAAAATGAAAACACAGCCATGTTTTAGCCCCAACTCTCTGCAGCCATAGGCACTGCTTTTGAACTCTTATCCCAAATAAAGATGAAAGTAGTACAATATTGTTTCATTATTCGGAAGGGTTTTTTTTTAAATAAGTGATGAGCGTCTGGCATTTGGCTTGGATAAATGAGGTATTGGCTTGATATGAGAATGGCTGTGGCCGTGCTGTGTTTCTCCAGAAATGTGTCCCATTTATAGACAAAAAGACAGGTATATTTTCGTTTTTATTTTGTGTGCAGAAGTGTGGTGAAAGGGTTTTGAGACGCAGCAAATTGCATTTTTTATCCATGCACGAGGACACACCGTCACCTAGAAATGCATTTGTGTTTCGTGATTTACTGTTGAGATTCCTGACACAGTCACAAACCCAGCTCTCGCTGCTTCTTCTTCACCAGAACTCTTCATTCAAAATTGCCTTAATAAAGGTAATTCATATTGGCTGGAAATGTAGATGAGAAGCAGAGAAACTCCATTTCGGTTTTTGTCATGTTTTGGACAGATAAGGCCCGTTTTGCCACATTTAGCCTGGAAATTTCTATTAAGCCAAAACACGAGCATGAAATAGATTTCCTGCATGAATCCGAGCACCTGCCGGCTGCCCCCTTGGTGGAAATTGGCACTTAGAGGAGAAATGGGAGTCTATTGTTGTGTTGCGGCTGCCAGAGGATCCTTAATTAAACTGTCACCTGGAAGTTGAAATGTAATCTCCAGATTTGTTATCCGAGCCAGAATCATTTGCCTCCACTTTACTTGTGATGGGGCTGCTTGATAATAACGGCTCAGGACCTGATGATGCAGAGGGGTATGGTAATAGCACAGGGGATCATAAAGATCACAAACAGCTATGAAAAAAACAAACAAACACACAAAAAAGGATTATAACCTGCTGCACTTTTAAATTGGAAACTCCTCCTTCAGCTTTTATCTTATTGAGCTGCTCTGAAAGGATTTCTATTTCATGATTACATCATCTTGCATGACATGGTGATGTAACGTTAGTACTAATTGTGTGAATATTTAACCAAAATTCACACAATGGCCTTCTTTTAGGGTTTTTTTATGTAAGATTTTTACAGCCTAGCTACTTCGGTGTACTTTGTTCTATTTTAGACATTCATATATCAAATTGTTTGGCTTCTTCAGAAAATGGGTGTCCTGACTTTTGTTTTTTCTAATTTTATACCTAAAATATTTAGAATTAATTACAAATATTTTCCCCATGAAAATGCAAGAAGATCTTTTCAGTTTCTTACAAAACATTGTTCCCATTTAAATCTACTGCTTCTCTATTATTTTCTTAAAGTCTTTTCACATCCAGTAGGCATGTATGCACAGTGCGCTTTGTGGTAGTAAAGCTAGAGTTTGATGTTTCTGGGAAATCAAGAAAAGGAACAGCTTCTTTTTCCAGTGTGTCTGTCAGGTCGTCAAACAAAAGTCCCAGTATGATATTTACTGGTGAAGAAGAAGAGAGAAGTGAGTAGCTAAACAGTTTTATAACCATCGCAGACTGTAATATGTTGCTGAGGMTTCTCCCCACAATTACATAATGACTGTTTGTTGTTACAGTTACAATACCAGGAAGAGTCTCCACAAGAATCATAAAAATAAAAACTAAATTGATCCTGCTGAGTGATCGACTCACTATGTGTTCCTGATGTGCCGACAGCAATGTCCTGCATGCTGAGTGCAATTTTAACTTTGGTGGAGGGTGGCATGCAGGGTGATACTCTACGCCCGTGGCGAATCAACTTGGCACAGATCTGCTGCCATGCACCCTATACGCACAAAATTCACTACTTCCTATGTGTAGGGCATTAGGGCTGGGCATTATGGCTGAAAAATGTATTACATTATAAGCCTTTGARATCTGTTGAAATTGATAATTATTCRTTATCTTTTTGTTTTGCCTATTTGRAATAAATAAATTTCCTCTCGAGCTGTCGTCTTTTTTATTCTGAAGCAGTTATGATGCAAAACATGAAAGTGCTGCTGCTGCATGTTAACAGGTGGTTGCTAGCTTACTAAAGTAGCCGTGTTGATCAGATGTCTAATGCAAAATATTAAAGGGGCAATATCACGTAAAATCAACTTTTTTTTTAGTTTTATATCATGTTATAATGTTTTACGCACATAAAAAACATGCCCAAAGCCTTGCTTTGACTCATTCATGCATGTTTGAGAAATCCTGAAGCATTTTTTATGAAGCCATGCGGAGGAGCAAAATGACAGGTTGGGACCAGAAACACCCCTGGGACGTGTCTTTAAGCCAGAATTCCTCATGGCAGAGCCCCCTCTCCTCCCCACACACCCCGGCCATGACTCCTGCAGGCTCTCGGGTGAAACTGAAAGTGAAACTTAAACTGTCTGCTGAGCTCCACTACTTCTCACTCAGTGAAGCTTTTTTCAGATTAAAAATACCTTTGAGGAAATGTATTTTCAGATGCCAAGAAAAATGCATCATGGCAGGCCCCCCTCCCCCTCGCAAGCACACCCCCCCACACACACACACACTGAAATGGGCGGGACAAAAGCAGAAAGAGCTTCTTAAAGAGACAGAGGCCAATTTCCAGGCGTTTAGAAGAGGAAGTGATGAGAAGATAAGTTTATTTTCTATGTAAACATAAAAACAGCATTTTAATAACAGCTAAAGGTGACATAGATACTTTATTATGGTATAGTATTTAAATGTATGCCTGAGAAACACATAATATTGCCCTTTTAATATTTTATTGCCCAGCCCTAACCATTATGCTGCTTYTAGCTCAAGTTCTGCTACTTAAGTTTTTAACTTGCCTTTGCTGCTTTTAGCATTAACAACTACAGCACTTAACAGTCACACAGCATTTTCTGGGAACATTTTATTTTCTGAGTTAAACTATACTGTTCAATACAGCCTTTCGTTTGTTTGGCCTATATTTTTTTCTCTTATTCCCTTTAATTTAATTTCAATAATAGCTAGTTCTTCTATTGTACACGTTTTTCATTATTTCTTTACAATTTGTGTCAAAGACAACAGCCCCGGCAGAGTGTACAAGTTCATTGCTGTAAAAAAGAAAGGCATAATTAATCAAAGCCTGACTGGAATCTCTGAGGCAGATGGAGTGAGAGCTGAGTATTGCCTTTTGGCTTTATGCTTCAGGAGAGAGCCTCATCTCTCGTTAGTCACTTACAAAAAGAGGCAGTGAGGAAAAAAAAAAGCACAGACGGATAGAGACACCCCCTCTAAATCAATTTACTTAAAGGGCTCCGCTTACTTTTGCAGGGCAGCGATGACTATAAATATGTGACTTTCTTTCTCCAGGTTCTGACAGTGTGTAGTGGCAGAGGGACTCTACTGCCAACAGGACTTACAGTCAATTTCGGTGCCCTTTTCATGTTCCTTTGAATCCAAAAAACAACACACGACAAATTTGGGGTGGGGGGTGGGGGTGTAGAGTGGAGTCAGGCTTTTCTTGCACCGATAGGTCAAGGTGGCTCCATGTGGATGTTTTGATGTGGAGAACCCTTTTGGACGCCACTGAGGTCAGAGCTCTCAGACGGAGCTATCTGCAGGGCCACCGATGAGAACAAAGAGTCTGCCTTGATACAGAGTAGACCAGCGTCKGCGCCCAAAACAAACAGGATGAAAGCCTGACCTCCAGTCCCTTGCAGCTTGTTGCCCTTTTCTCTGAGGCCCACTGCTGAACAACAAGGACCAGCAGWGGAAAACTGTCTCTTTGTGGTAGAGGAAAAAATATTTAAATAATGATGCAGGAACAGTAAACCTCATTCTCATGGTTAATACAGCCAAAATGTGTCTGTTTTTGACTAATGCAGGGGTGTCAAACTCAGATTTATCAAGGCCTTCAATAGGACAGTTGTAACTAACTTGGTTACATTTTCTGTTCAACTTCAACTATATAAAACATGTTCCTCTTCTCATTACTATGGCAGAGCAACAATAAACAATATAACTGAGCTCTGCGTGGTATTTCCTGCATAGAAACAGTGTAACATGTCCTCTTATGAACATTGAAAAGTACTATGTGTATGGCTGGGAAAAAAATGTGAAATAAATAATACAAAAATATTCTTAAATGTTAAAGTAAGAGAATTTTACTCAATTTTGAGTTATGGTGAGTAGCTGCTGTCTCGAATACTGAACTCTTCCACTTTCCAACAGGGAATTCCCATGCATGATCGACATGCATTATGGGGAATTTAATGCATTTAAAGCAGCTTATTTTGGAACATTAATACAGGGCTACTCAACTAAATTGCTCAGGTGACCACAATTATAAAGCCAACAAATCAGGAGCACAACAAGTAGTAATATCTTTCACATTTTAAATTTACTTTGTTGCATTGAATAATGAATTAAAAGTTTATCATTAATATAATTTCTTTTTCAGATTAAATTAGTAAAAAAAGTGTGTGGGGAGGGTTGTTGCTCTTGCGGGYCGTACGGAAGTCACCCACGGGCCTTTTTTGGCCCACGGGCCTTCAGTTTGACACATGTGGCTTAATGCTTATTTTTAGTGAAGGCAACTATAGGAACAACACCAAGTCCAAAACAAATTCTTCAGAGGGGATAATAAAATACACTGTACCATATTACATTACATTATGCTGTATATCTGGGAAAGGATTGGATATTTAAGTAGGAGTAATCTTCATGTAAAGTTACCTTTACGAGCGATGCGGATGCAGTTTATTCTTGATTCCTGAAACACAAAACACAAACATCAGAGGGGAGGTGTCACTTTGCATTTTACACAAACAATACATGATAAAACGAATGGAGGATGATATGGAATACTGAGCTGAGTCACMCAAACGCACCGTCCTGAAAACATAACAGACAAAAGCAAACAAACTGCCGTAATCCTTAATCCAAAGCATGTTAAATGATCAAAAACAWTAAAGACGAAAAGGGATACTTTACCCAAAAGGAAAGCAGAATTAACTTTCAAATCGGTACAAAGAAACATAAAGATTTAGACTTAAAGGACAAAATCGTTTGACAACACGAGGGAAAACACACCATCTAAAATCTGAGAGCTGTGGTGAAGTGTGTAAAGGAGATTAGAGAATCTTGATGAAGGAGAAAAGATGAGAGCTGAAAGCGAGAGAGCGTAATTAAAAGCAGGGTTTCAGACCAGCGCCCCTCTAAGAAAACGAATTAATTTTATTCAGATTTGGGCTGATGACATCTCAGTGTTATGAAAAAGACCTTTGTCAAATAACACTAATGAGATCCAAGACTGTAATCCAAATCCATCCTGCTACCCCCATGGAGGAGATTTATTATCAAATTAAAATTTACAGATGCCAATTCGGGCATTATAGGACAATTATGCAAATTTGCCTTTTCAGAAATGAGCAAAAAAAAAAAGCTTTCTTCAAACTTGAGTTAAATTGCATTTTTAAATTGAAAATCCCTTTCAAGCTGACAGACACTTGAATGTGCTTTTACTTTTGTGCTCTGATATGAAAATATATATTTTTTAATTCGACCGGAACAAAAAATAGTAGCAGGTTGTCATTATGTCAAAGGCAGACATAAGCTGTGTGACATTATGTGAAGTTATGTAACCRCAAACGGCTTCAGGGTTATCAGAAAAGCACACATTTTCTAGTCTTTTCAGCACTGCTTTTTSTTCGACATGATGTGGCCTTGTACTCTGCAGAACTGCACAATAACCTTAAAATGTGTCGTTTAGAAAGTCTAAATGACATGGTGCCAACCTAAATGTATAAAACTATGTAATAGGTATGCTCTGAAAAGTTGTAATTTTTCTGGGAAAACAGTAAAATTACAACTTTTCAGAGGTGCCGGACCTCTGAAAAGTTGTAATTTTTTAAGAAGGCAATGACATATAGTAACAATTTGTAAATAAACAGAAAATTTAAAAATATATATTTAGAATGTGGGGTTTTTGACCAAGTTTGGAGTTTTCTATGCATTTCTCCTGAAGTAAAATTTGTGTAGTTTGCCGAAAAAATTAGAATTACATTTCTAAGAGGAAGGTTTGCTGTGAAAGACTGGCAGGAAAACCCATCATAAAGATCCTCAACTTCCAACTCCGATTTTTTAAATAAAATGAACCACTTCCTGGGGAAGCAGCTGCCCTGAGCTGTGGCTACAAGGCTGTCATTGCATCAGGTCCACTTTAAAAGATTACTGAAAGCCTGGCTCCTCAGAAGCACATCATAAAAAAATGAGGGATGACTTAAGGGTTTTGTAAAAATACGGTCCATATTAAACAGATTAGCATGTTCATTATGTTATATATGCATAAAATCTAAAAGAAACTCATATTTAGTAGTAACAACCCTTACTAAACAATGCTAACACTGGTAAACTAAGCAAATAAAATGTTTGATGTGTTTACCATCTTTATTGAAGGCCACTACGCAATGAAGAACTGGAACTATTGCTTTAAATGTGAGAACCTTAAGTAAAAATACAGTAACAGATAAACAGTAGGTTCTTTCAGAATCCGCCCCACACCATTACTGACACCTCTGAATGGACCGAACACCTCAGTCCATTCAAAAGACACATGGAGGACGAGAGGAGGGACTGAAACACCACACCTCCATAGTATACCTGTGAGTGATGTTGACTGACACCTTTGGGGACCACCCAGCTGTAGGTTTCTTGTCACAAACCCTGACCGGACTCCTTTCAGGTTTAAACTTTCTTTTTTTATTTTATTTTTTTCAAGACTCACAAGCTCCTTTATCTACATGCAGAGGAGGAAATAAATACAAACTGCATCGGCACAAAGACCGGCTAAAAGTATGCAGCAGCGTGGACACAAACGTGATAAGAGTCAGTTCATTTTGAAATTTAAAACCCCAAAATGACGTACTCGGACGTACCTTGAACTGTGAGAAATAATAAAAGGGACTCGTTTTAAATCTTCCCTTTTTCRCATTTAAAYCATTCGGTTGGGGTCTATATGAAGTGGAACTGCAATGCTTTGGTTGAAATTCCAGGATACTGTAGCTCCACAAGCTACAAGTTTCGGTGCTGTCTCTTTAAATACAAAAGAGACGTTTCCCACTCTGCCCCACTTTAGGTTGCACTCCCAATGGTCATCGTCCACTACCTGTTTGATCATGTTTGTTTTTAAAGCAGAGATATGATTATCTAGCAGCACGGACACTTTTTATTTACAAATTAATTAAAAGAAGTCAACAATGGAAGACTTGTCCATCTGGTTTTACATGTTGGAACCAGAGGAAAATGAAGACAATAAGCCTGAAGAACCACACAACTGTGAAAATGGTAAGCTGGAAGCCTGTGGCCTTATTTAGCAGTTCTGCAACCAATACTGTGACTTTATAGTTAAATATGACCCAAACAGAATGTTAAGATATCTATGCAGCACCAGGAGSAACTCAGTTCTAATTTTCTGCACTCCTATGGACTCCAAGAACACAACAAAATGTATTTAGGGGCTAAAAAAGTGGATTTTGCAAGATATGTCCCCTATATGAGCCATTCTATGACTACTGTTGCTCTCATCAGACGTTTGAGTGACAGGAACATGTCAGAGCACCGATTAATGCGCTTTGAAAGCATGTTTCAGTGAGTTAAAAGAGCATCCCCATCTGTGAATTTTAAACAGAGTTTCAACACAGAATTTGCTGTTCGGCTTTTCAACATACTGAATGTAAAAAACATATTTCTGTAGATGTATGGTCATTTTTCAAACAAACTAAGTGAAAAGCAGTTCAGGCAGACATAATACACATGAGAGATTCTTTCATGCTTTGGCATCATAACATAATTTGACTTAATTACTACTGAACATTCAGTTACTGTAATTAATAATTATTCATCTTATCGTTTAAAAGTGCAACTCTGCTTCAATTCCACTGTATGAGTTTACAGAAGTGCTGACTGCTGACTTTCAGCTTTCTAGGCATAATTGTGCAAAGCACTTTTCTTAAAAAATGAAAAAGAAGAAAGAAAAGGAAAGAAAATAAGCTGATTCATTTGAACTTCCCCGCAAAATCATTTTGGATCTGTCAAAAATGCAATCATAACGAGCTTTGGCACATTGGCTCACACAAACACATTTCTCCGTACGGTTTCATCTATTTGGCAGAAAATAAATAAGTTCTTCTGACATATAGAAGCAAATTCTTCAAGATGTGCTTCTGAACCGTTGTGCGAGAGCTCAGCGGGCGAGTTCAATGGCGAGCTTCTTTTTTTTTTCTGTGGAAGGCGCGTCCCATGTTTCTCTGAGCAGTGCCAGTCATGCCAGAGGGGCTGTTGGTTCCTGGCAGTCCTAAATACAAAACGTAAATGCCAACATGCAACACGGGTGCTCCACAGCACACAGTGTTTCCCTGCGAGTGTTGGAGATAGAATAACTTTTGAAACGCTGTGGCCTATAAAGCTGTATGCAAAGATTTTCCAAGTACCCTTTTTTAAAATAATCAATCAGAGCAATTAAAGAGGCTTGACAGTCACCTTTAAAAACCCCAAAAAACGTGGGTGAAATGCCAAATTTTCTGGGTCCCAAGTACCAGGCTTATAGTCGGAACACTTCCACTGTTTAAGAGGATTAGGTACAATGTTTGTCCTCAACAAATTTAAAAAGAAAGAAAAAAAAAAGAATAAAAAATCGACCACACAAACACTGATTTAATGAGAAGGGCAATTAAAGTGAGCCTGGCAGTTTAGTTTGCATTTTAATAAAGCGGCTGGTGTGCAAACACCTGAAGAGACTATCAAATATGACACTTCAGCACAACTCCAATCTGCAGAAAGCTTAATCAACAACCGTTTTATCCAAGAACATACGTGACTTTTCTGATGTTTCGCTTGTAGGAGAGAGCGGATGTCACTGTTTGTTTCTCCTCAAGTTAAAGATCAAGTTTTATTTCAGCAGCTGCAAAGAGAAGTCGGTGTTTCTTATTTTGTCTACAAATTGTGCTACAAAAATATCTGTCAAGTACATTTATATATTGCAATGTTTTATGCATTGATACAATAATCAGACATTTCACACTAAAATTATTTTTATAATTTATTATAGTTGATTTTTTGTGTGTGTGACGATTTGCTAGCAAATATTTCTAGAACCACTGCACTAATTAGAACTCACCAAAATTAACCATTAAATGTAGATCTGCAACTAACTAACTTTTGAAGTCAACTTGATCCAAGATGGCTGCCAATTGGCCTTAAAACCACAAAAATAACTATTTGTCAAGTTTACAGATATTTTGACAAAATTTGGTGTGGTAGTAGCTGAGAGTCATCTACAACTCACACTCCAAGTCACACTCTGCGTTACATTTTTGCCTAAAATTTTAGCATTAATTGTTGGAGTCAACCCTGCATGTTAGCAAAATATCTATGAACCACTAGACCAGGGACCTGCAGCTCTGGGGCCACATGTGGCTCTTTGGTCTCGCAGAAAAAGCTAGCTTTAGCAACTTTCCTGTCGATTTGTTTATGTGATCGATACAAGGATACAAGGGTACAAAGTGAAACACGTTGATTAGATCACGCAGTAGTTTGTTGGTCACTTCAATAATCCAACTTCCATCCACAATGTGCGATCCTTCTCTCAAATCTATCAGAACGTTTTTGGAATACCTTTAAGTCTTGGTTAGAGAATAATAAGAACTATAAAGAAAAACATGTCTGTACAATTAAATTGTAGTCTGTGGTAAATTTGGGTATAAACTATACATG